GGTTTATTTTAACTCATGTAGTTGTTATATATATATATATATATATAAATAAATAAAATAAAAAATTATATATATAATAATAATAATACAAAAATTAACTCAACAATAACTCAATAACCTTAAAAAAAAACCACACAAAAAAACAGCGATAACATACTTGTCTATATACTTTCAATGTCCATCAATTCCACAAAAGAGTCACCATCTAGACTCTCCAAAAAGTCAGAAAACTTTCCAGATGGACCAAAATACATTTTGTTTTTCAAAAAATAGGTAATTTTTTCTAAGGCAAGGCATGAGGTCATCCCCTTTATCCATTGAGACACGCCAGGACTTTCTTCTTTTTTCCAAGAACATGCAATTACACGTTTAGCTTCCAGCAAACAAAGAATTAACAACAATCTTTCATGTTTGGTAGTTTTAAAGTTCAGAGGACATATATGTAATATACACAACCTGGGATCAAGAGGAATTACTTTACCAATGATTTGACTTATAATATTTAATATTTTAACCCAAAAACAATTAACTTTAGTACATTCCCACATACAATGGAATAAAGTTCCCTTCTCTTGTTTACATTTGTAGCATATATCAGGAATATTCGGGTTGAAGTGATGTAACTTAACTGGAGTGATATATTGTCTACTCAACCATTTATACTGAAGCAGTCTCAAATGGGTACTCATTGTCTGAGTTTGGGCTTTTAAACATGCTATTTGCCACTCTTCCTCAGTTATATCAGCCTGCAGGTCAGACCGCCATGCTTGAAGTCTGTCATTAAATGATTCTTTAGATTTGGCCACAAACTGTTTATATAACACAGATACCTGACCTCTACCTTTCAAACAGTTAAGTGTAATATTTTCCAAAGTAGAAAGAGGAGGCTCAACCAAACTTTGGCCTTGTCTTGATAGAATAAAGCTACGTAATTGCAAATATTTGAAAAAGTGCTTTTGCGGAATTCCAAACCTTGTCCTAATTTCTTCAAAGGACATAAAGTTTCCTTCATTATAGAGATCAGAGACCTTACTCATTATCCCTTACTTAACGCGCAACACTTCCGATGCATTAGCCACTATAGGTAAATAACTATTTGTGCTACAAACCATTGTTTATTATTAAAATTTAGCATTTTAATTTTGGGTTTTGCATTTCAACTTTTGCTCTTTATATTTTTGTGCATTTCAGTTTTGCATTTTTCATTTACATTTTTGCATTTTGAATTTGTATTTTGCATTTTAATACACATTTTGCATATTTTACATTTTCATATAACAATTTCCGGCAACTTTTTGCAGTCTGATCAGATCATGAGATGAGATGTTAAAAATTGAGGTTGATATCATTTTAAATGCATTGCATTGTGGGATATGGTATCTCACACAGTGTGCATGCTGTACTTTTTGAAAAATTTAGTTGGTCTTCCATATATCCCTTCCAAGCATATAGAAAAACCGTGAACATACTGCAGGATTAGTTAATATGTGTTATTTTGAACACAATCTAGTCTGAGTGAGTAATGAACGAGTCATATTCATGAAATATTTCCACAGGAGACACAGTACCAAAATGTCCAGTCAAACGCACACGGTGACGAACAACTAGAGTCATGTGACTCTGTGAAGCATGAAGATGAATCATTTGAGACGTCTTGTGACCAGGAAGAAGAAGATCAGCCGCTCATGAAACCCAACAACTACCAGTTCTGCTGAGGGCCTAACTAACCAGCTAACTAACTAATGCGGGATCTTCTGTCTGAACATCAACAATAGTTGCACAATCCGTCCACAATCACATGCATGTGAACAAAGAACTGATCTGTCGCCAAACACGCTCACCGTGTGATTTTACACGCTCTGCTTTTGTAGTTCTGCTCGCTTGAAATCTCGTAAACAGTCTTGAACTCATCTGCAGAGTTGAAGCGTGTTTAAATGAACCAGTTTCACTTCTCGGCAAAGTCGAAAACCTCCAAACCTCGGATTTGTTTGTCGTCTGATGTGCCTTTTTGGTAACCGTGCGTCTTTTTTGTTACTTGTACTTCTCTGTTGCCCAAGTTGGAAAGCAGCTTGTTCAGCGTTTCAAATGCAAACGCTGCATGTTCCACTTCCACTTCATACTTGATCTGCGTGTCAGTCGTGCTTCTTTCTTTAAAGTAACTGAAAATGAACACAGACACACGTAACTCTTTTTGTGCAGCTAAAATAACTGGAGCCGAATGACACCGGTTAGGGGCGCTGCTATGGTTTCTGGGCCCCCTGAACAGCATATTGACTCGGGGCCCCCTCCACGATCGCGTTCCGGTGGGGGAGCAGCGTTGGGTGGGTGTTCGCGTTCCGGGCCCCCTCTCCCTCGGCGGGCCCTTGGAATTGGCCTAACCTTCCCCCCCATTTACAGCGCCCCTGACACCGGTACCCTTACACATTCAAGCTATAAATGGCCACATTCTTATGTTAAAAATAAAGTGTATACTACATAGCCCCGCACATGACATGCAAGAAAAAATGTATAAATCGTGTGCACGATTTACTAATTCGTTCCCTTGATGTACTAAAACGTGCACACGATTACTATTTTGTTCCCTCAATTTGCTAATTCGTTCCCTCGATTTGCTAAATCGTGCGCACAATTTACTAATTCGTTCTCTCGATTTATAAATCACGTGCATGATTTAGCAAATCGAGGGAACGAATTAGTAAATCGTGCACACAATTTATAAATCGAGGGAACGAAATAGTAAATTGTGCACACGATTTAGCCTACTATTTCTTTCCTGCATGCCATGTGCGGGGCTCCGTAGTATACAACATATACAGCCTACTATTTCTTGTTAAATTGTCAGTGCAACAATATGCTATAACGGCATATTCGGCAATTAAATGTTTATTTTTTTTGCATTATAATGTTGCATTCTAAAGGTTTTTCTTCTCTTTTTTTTTTTTGCATTTTAATTTTGCATTTGCAAGTTACAAATGGCCATGTTCTTGTTAAAAATAAAGTGTACACACCATATATGGCTTAGCCAATTGAACAGTATGCAATAACTTTCTAACTTCTAATTTTGCATTTTAATTTTTTTAATTTTTTTTTGCATTTTAATTTAGCATTTTGCATTCTAATTTTGCTTTTTTATTTTATTTTATTTTTATTTTGCATTTTAGTTTGAACTTACTGTAACGGTCACATAACACTTGCAACCGACATGAATCTCATTAATTGCGCGGCTGAAGGTAATCAGTGCAGGTGAGAGGACAGATATGAAATCATTCTGTCAGTTTGTCTCCTGCTCTAGTTCTTAGTCAATCCTTGTAGGCAAACACAATATTTTATTGCTTCCTGCAGTGATTACGGTCATTTGGAGTGATAGCGTGAGGTCAGCACAGGTTTGGAGGACAGCTGTTGGTGCAATAATGTTTCGGCTGATCGTTGTCTTATTTTTTCAGATAACTGAGGGTCAAAGGTTAAATGTGTTCTCATTTATCACTGAAGCCTTAGAAATGGACCTGAGGACAATGACTGACTGACTGCACAGAAACCATTTCAGGATGAAAAACTAACCATTTGCTTTTCCTTTAATGTAAAATGAAAATTAGACTGTTTCATTTAATTTTCATATGCATATTTACACTTGATTATTTTGATGTGCAGCAAATGTTTATATAGAAGAAATGTTGTAAGCTGAATGTCACATTTTGTTTTCAACAAGTCAAACTCTCAAACAGAAAAATCTGTTGTTTTTTTCTGTAGTTTCTTAACTGTTTGCTGTCAAATGAAGCATCAGACACACACTGCCAGAGTAACTGTAGGTTGCTTAAAATGTGATTATATTAGAACAGTTAGCATTTTAATTTTGCTTTTGCATTTTAATGTCATTTTAAAACTTTTACTTTAGTTGCAACTGAATTTCACATTTTGCATTTTAATTTCATTTTCAAATTTTTACTTTAGTAGAACTCTCAAACAGAAAAATCCGTCTTTTTTTCTGTAGTTTATTAACAGTTTGAAATGGGTAAATCTTTGTTTTTGTACTCCAAACTGTTTGCTTTCATCAAAGTTTATTTGAACTCTCAAATGAAGCATCAGACACACTGCCAGAGTAACTTTAGGTTGATAAAATGTGATTAACCTTTTGTTTTCTTTCTCAAAGCACAAACTGCCATGTTTATATGTTTATATTATGTCCTTATTTACATTTATTCTTATGCAACAATTTTTTTTATGATTCATAGTTCAATTATGTGAGCTTGAATCATTATAATGACGTCTTTTCTCAGTGTTTATCTGTGTTAATAGTTCCCATGAGTCGCATCATAATGAGTTGTGCACCTTTGATAGCTACACATCTGTATATTTTAGTTTTACTACAGAACTTGCTACTGAAAGCTACTAATAAACCATGGAAATGTCTTGTTTTTATCAGTTTATTGGGAGCGATTGTGAGGTCAATCCATGTCAAACATTTGAGTTTGAGCACATTATCTGTTATGAACCGGATCTCTTAGAATAAATACGTCAACATGTCAAAAAGTTTTTCTATGCATGAAAACGCCATCAAAATATGAAATGTAAATAAATACTGTCGGTTTTCCACCTGTAGTGGGTTTCACTTTTCTGTGGGCAATAAAATGCTTGTTATTTACAATCATAAATATGTCAGATACAACATCAGAGACACACAAGGCCAGTTATTTTTCAAGGAACATGAATCTGCAGGCATCATTTACGCACTCTCATGTCATTCCAAACCTGTATTTTACACAAAAGTAGACGTTCACGCTGCTCTTTTCCATATAATGTAAGTGAATGGTGATTTAAACAAGCTTTAAAGCTCCAAAAAGCACTAAAAACTGATTTTTTAGGACAAAATGTAAGATTTATGTGTTTGAAATGCATATATATATATAAACAAAATAAAAAATTGAAATCACACTCTGTCTTTCCAGGCACATTTTGTCTTTTTTATTTTAAAAATGTTGAGTAAACCTGAGTCAGATGAGCATCACCTCCTCGAACACGACTCCGTCCGAGTGTTTGTCCAGTCCTCCGTCAGCCGTTTCCTCCTCCACTTCCTGCGGGTCCGAGTTGATCTGTGCGACTCCCAGCCTGTAGAGGGCGTCTCTGATCATCACCACCTCCCCCGGCTGACAGGCGCTCAGCACCTCCGCGATCTGCTGGTTCACGATGTCTCTGCTGCTCAGGAAGTCCAGCAGGCGGTTATAGAGGTAGTAATACGCTGCGTTATCGAACACGAGAGCTTTCCGCCGAAACGCCGTTGCGCTGCTGTCGTCGAAGCTGGTTTGACCCTCGGGTTTGTCACAGATCTCTGCGACGGCACCAGCGTACGGCTCCAGCTCTTTGCAGAGGGTGATGGCGTGGTGGGCGTCGTGGAGAGCGCTCGGTCTGTCGGGTCGCACTATCCAGCGAGAGGCGGATTTGGTGAGCGGGTGCAGATGAGGGTTGGACTCAGTCGCTGTCAGATCCAAACTGTACGGCTGGTCCTGAAGCTCCGAGCAGGAGACGTACTGAAAGAGGGGAGGAGACAGATGTGATTGACAGTTCAACGGCCAATCAGGCGTTTTAAAATCTGTGTACATGTTCACTGCAAGGACAATTTACCATGAGGTGTACAACTCAACAAAAACCAATTTTTTTGAAGGAATATTTTCATTTTGATTTTATTTGTACAGCGCTTTTCACGTTATTTGACGTCTCAAAGTAGCTTTTCAGAAATAAATGGACTACGTTATGATATTTTAATTTCCTTCATGGAGTTGTCACTATAAATGTTTTGTACAGAAAGAGATTCTTAAACATGTAGCTAAAAACCTCTCCAAAATTGCATTTTATTTGTATATGTGGTAATATTATATAATGTTAATGTCTGTGTGTGCAGGGTTATTACAGTTAACTGAAACTAAAGCCATAAAAAAAACATCACTTGAAATGAATTCAACTTTAAATTAAATAAAATATATATAAATAATATTTTATTTCATTTTATGTGATGTACTAAAACTGAAATAAAAATTAATAATAACATTTTTAAAAAATACTAAAAATGTCAACAACAAAAAAACAACTAAATTACTAAAAGGCCAACTAAATTTTAATTGAAAAAATTAAATTCTTGAAAATATTGGTTTCTTTTTTGTTTTTAAAAGGAAGATATAACAGCAGACAGGTTTTAAAAAATTTTTTAATAATATATTGTGATGACGAATATTGTCGATATAATTTAATAATATAACTAATATTTTTTAAATATATTATTATTAATTATAATAATAATTGTTATTATTTTATCATTTATTAAAAACATTTATCTGACTTTAATAATTAATTAAAAGTAATATATATATATATGTATATATATATATTTCTCGTATATGTTATTTTAGTATAATTGAGATACTATTATAGTTTTTATAATTATTTTTTATATTTTCTGTTTTCATTTTCATTTTAAATTGTGTTTTTGTAATTTTTATGTTTTTGCTTTTAAATGTTTCTATATAATTTTCATACATTTTTATTTACTTATTATTTTATTTAGTTTTGGTTCTTTTAGTACATCAAGTTAAACTAAATGAAAATGAGAAATGTTGTCTTGGCAACTAGCTGAAGTAGAATCATTTTTATATGAAGTAGAATATTTTTTTATTTTATTTCAGTTACTGTTTATTTGATTTCAAGCAAAGTTTTTAGTTTTGAGTTTCAGTTCATTATAATAACCCTTATTGTTTATAAATATTGTTTATAAAGATGTTTTTGTTTCTGCAGCAGTAGTGAAAGAGCTTGATAAGTTATGATTGTTTTGGAGCAATTCATAAGTGGACTTTTGTGAAAATATGTAAATGCAACAGAAGCATTCTAATTAATAAAAAAAATGATCTATTCCTGTCAATCTCTCACCTGTGGTGGTGCTGTAGGGTCAGAGAAACATCCCTGATTTTCCCCCCACATCTGTGAGGCCAGTTGAGGATATAATACATCAGTGCAGAGCGCCACCTTCTGGGCACAATCCGCCACGTACACCGGCGGCCAAAACCTGGACGAAACCAGCAGGTCCAGATGATCTCGAGCGCTTTCTCTGCGGACGATATACTTGGATCCGCACATGACCTGCAGAGATCAGACTCCCACATCAGCTCATCTGATCAAGTCAAATAATCATCAAAGAGCTGTGCTTTAGTGAGTCTGGTACCTGATGAGGACACACTTTACTGACTCTGCCTGCCGTCATGAGCGCGTCGGGCTGCTGTGCCGTCCACAGGCCGCTCTGTGAGTGAGAATGCAGCAAAGACACAGACGCCAGCAGCTCGTCCTGTCAAACGAGACCAGCAGGCCATTCTGTCATGATTACTACAGGAATATTTAGAGGAATTTGACTGAAGGGAGGAGAAAGTGTGATAGAGTTGCTTTGTGTTACTGAATAATAAATATTAGTGATATTATCGCTTTAACTGCACCGACACTATCGGATGAGAACAAACTTTGAACTGAATTAATTT